ATAAGGCAAGAGAGTAAGAGGTCCTGATCAATAAAGAAGATTACAGTTGAGGACAATAAAAGAAGTAAAAGAGTACTCTTGTGATTTGATTACCCTATTTTCTTTACAGATTTTTTCGTACGTTTACTCTGACATTAGAATATATACATATTAGGTATGATAATTTGGAACCTTATATTCTATTTTAATAATCAAATGCGACGCAATTATTAATCATTTATTACGATATCATTTCATTTAAATATGTAATTGTCAAAGATATTTTAGTTTTATTACGTAAACTACAAGGTCTCCCGCCACAGTTTTTGGCGAAGGAACAACTTTTAGATATTCTCAGTTACCTATTAGAAGCCTATGCTAGATTATATTCTTTCAAATTATTAAATTTAGAAAACAATTTTGCTATAAAAAAATCAGATAAATATCGATGTTGGTAGACTTAATTAAGTAAAACAGAGAAGCACCCCTTTGTTTTCGGGTTTGGTTTGTAAAGTGACTATTAACGTTGTTTGCGCGCGGTTCGTTTTAGGAGCAGCCGCGGCTTGTTGCAGCTCTACCAGTTATTTATTCAACCTTATTCCAAAAGCTGAATTTGTTAACCCCACCTCAAGGTCTCCCCAAAAATATTATATGGTATTATGACCTATTTAAAAACCATTAGTTTGAATTTTTCGCCTTCGGTTAACCGCGGATTAATGGTGAACGTCTACTTTCATCTCGCAAAGGTCGCAATGTACGAGTATGTTTGACACGCAACGCGTTTTCTCGGTGTAGCTTTATATGAATTGAGTGCTATAGCATTGCGTCCGCTCATAAATTTCTTACCCGATACCTGAAAGCGAAAAGTGCAATGGTTGTACCCAGGTCAGACGCCGTAACAGTATCCTAAAGAAAAGCTTACCAATAAAAGTTAATACTGGTATCTGTTTGGTGGTCTGTTCGTAGTGTCAACTTTCTTAGGTCTGGTCAAACAATAACAGCAGACGTTTAATGTACCGAACTTCAAACAATGACCGTGAAACTAGTAGTGAAGCAGCCTCCGACTCCTGAATCGATCTTTACCGGTACTGTTTTATGATATCGGAAGACTTCATAGAGCACGAAAAACCGTTGCTATTCTACAGGAGCTGCAATTCCATACTATTATGCTGCAATATACGTTATTCGCTGTACTCACCAGACTTTTTTCCAACGGACTATCAGTTTTTTTCCTTGAAGTCGTCAATTTTCTACGTGAAAAATTTTCTTATTGAATAATGCTTAAAATATCCACTTTGTCCCTGGCACTCTGAGATGGGACTGACCTTTGCAATCCGGGCGACAGCTTTATCATTAGGAATAAGAATTATTATTATTATTATTACCAAAAATATAGAATTCTTCAAAATTAAATTGAGGAAGACACCACGTAATTGTAAAATATTACTGTCATTTCATTCTTCATTGTCCATAATCATTTACGCCAAAGTGATGGAGTGATATAATATTTCTCGTTAAAAGCTCGCCATTTCTATTCAATGCCATCATGTTATCAATCTTATTATTGAATAAATCTGAGGTTGATTTGTATCTATCTATATGTTTTATGTAAAAATATATCCTAACAAGTACACTCCCGACTCACAAGCCAAAGGTTTCGTACAAATTGAAATCCAAACACAAACATTTATTTGGTTTACTTAAAATAAGAAATAATCTTTTTTGTTATTTATATGATTGATTGTCGGTCTGTCTAACCATCTGTTAAATATTTTATTTCATTCAAAATTACTAGACCGCTTGTGTTGAAACTTGGTACTGGTTTATCTTGGTACTGTAAAATGGATTTTAAAACGGAGGCCACTTTTGTGAGTAAATTAGTACATTTAAATAGTATATACAATAAAATAAAATGCCTATTGTGAGAATAAATAATTATAATATTAGGTATATGCATATTAAAAATTTCTTTATTAAAAATAGAAAGGACTTCAAACTTTGAAAATAAAGTAATACTTATCTTATAAAAGCGGTTTAAAGTTATCTTATTTCATTTTTTCTTAAATAATTTTAATTTTCAAAGTATATTAGGTGAAAAAGGAACGGGAATGACTATCTTTGGTTTATTCGTTTCCTGCAAAAATCAGCTTTGCTAGAGTTGCCATCTAGTGAGGTGCTTTTAAGAGCTTACTTTATTTTTTAAAATACTTCCTCATAGGAAAAACACGGAGGTGTAAATAATTGACGATAAGATACTACCAGTTTACGAGTAAACTGGCAACCCATGGGTTGCAGCTACTTCAGAGCTGGCAACCATAGTTACTCCGATTCCTTACATGATTCTCTTTTAAATGATGTGGGGTTTACTAGAAAAAAACTTATAACTGCAAATTATCAGTAAAAGGTAATTACAAAAAATATATATATAAAAAATAATTAAAGCTAATTTTTGCCAGGCAACTCTGTTGCATGCAACCTATTCTATCTTATATCTATCATAAAATATAATTTTCACCAAAAAAACAAATAGCTGCAGATTTAAACAGTGGAATCCTAGACTATTATGATCTATTTACGGACGAAGGTCTATTCGATCTATTGACTTGTTAGTGAAAGTTAGTATGTCAGTTATATAAATGTCATAAAAATAATCGAAATCAATGTTGAAGATGACCAAATAATAAATCGGTCTCGATTTTGACACTACTCAATTTAATTTATAAGGTTTTTATCTGGCCATATTAGTTAGTCAGGATCAACTCTTACTAGCAAAATTTTACTCACTTGTCGATTTACGGTTCAGCTTAAATTTTGTGGTTACATATAACTTGGATGACTGACCTGATTTCTAAATTGCGAATATCAGTGATTTTGTTTTTAAATAGTTTTCAGCGTAGTTCATTTTAATGGTCTTCTAAAACATAACATTATCTGCTATTGAAGTTTAGATTAAAGAACCTATGACATGTCTATGAGAATTCGTGCGTGTATCACGCGATATACTCACTCTTCACATCCACGTTTATTTTCGGTTGGCTAATAATAAAGAAAATAAGAAGTAAAATATCTGAAGCTTCAGTAATAGTACCATGTCTGAACTGAATATTCTGTTATTGTACACAGGGCTGCATATCAGATTAATGCTCAAAATATTTATTATTATAATTAGACTGTATTGCCACTGTATTTTAACAGAATATTATAAGTATATTAGTTTGTAGCCCACAAATAATATATCTGCGACATTTTATTGCTAAATAATAAAATTATAACCTAGTCGCTATGTTCAAATATGTTTTTTTTTATTATTTAAAATTGAATAAGTATTTCAGCGGACTAAATTTTAATAACTTTATACAACCTTATGTGCTGTTGATTTTATCGTTGTGTTTTTATAATAATAGAAGTTTTCCGTTGAAATACACTTTACCAGAGATTATGTCTTTAGTTAAAGGATTAAGTTGAGAGTGCTCTAAATTGCACAATGTTTTCCAAATAGCTACAATATTTACTTGTCTACTAAGAAAATCCCTTTTATCTTTTAAAGTAAAGCTGATTACCTACATTTTGTTGTTACGTTAAATTGTGTTGACGTACACGATTATAATGTTGAGCGGTGAGCACTTAAATTCATTCGAAGAAAAATATTTCGAACATAAATACGTTATGTTCGAAGTTTCGAGTAGCTCGGTGGCGTAGTGGATAAGCGCCGCGGCCCGCGATCGTAGTCGTTAAGCAACTTTCGCAAGGGTCGGTCACGGGATGGGTGACCAAAAAATTATTATCTCGAGGTACTCCGTGCTTCGGAAGGCACGTTAAGCCGTTGGTCCCGGCTGCATTTGCAGTCGTTAATACCCTCCAATCCGCATTGGGCCAGCGTGGAGAGTCATGGCCCATCCTCCTTAACCATCCATAAGGAAGGTCTGAGCCCCTGCAGTGGGGACGTAAAAGGGCTGGTGATGATGTGATGAAATACGTTATATTTTTCGGTCAAAATATTTTAATACTATATATAATATGTACTTAAATTCAAATCGTCTTCATCATAAATTACACTTCTATAATTAAAATTTATCATAGGAAAACGCTTGAAAACATCACCTATCTCGGGTGTCATATTAGTTCTATATTTTCTGATTTTAACTTTTTTTTTGTACGGAACGTTAAAAAACAAGTGATTCGTGTCTGGTTGTAGTACCTACTCGAACTAAAGACCTTTGACTATATGGGAAAGTACATATCCAAAAGAGCTGTAGGACCTAGCGAGTCTCTTGAATTTCTCATATAGGAGAATTGTGTAGGTACTTAATCGTTCAATACGAATATTGTTAATTGCGCTGATAACGTATTTTTCATTAATATGTAGTGATAGGTATTTTTTATAACAAAAATAAGAGAATGGATTTTCATACATTATTGTTAAGTTGTTATTGAGCAAGGAACAAGATAGCTCGGAATGTTTGTTGGCTGTTTGAGCATTGGAGGCCTTTTCCCTGTCTGGAGGATAAGAATTAAATGTTCCTGAGTTTTGCCTCAACCTGCAGAGGCATTCCCGCAGGGGGTTCGAATTGCGGAAAAAGGTTCTCGGGTAGTTTTTGCGCAACACTTATTATAAGGAGGGGTATGCAGGGTTATAGTGAGTATGCCTCTGCATTTCGGCTCACCACCTTTCCGGGGTCGGTTGGAGAGTCTCCCACATAATCTCGCTTACCCATGCTTTGGGAGGCGGGGTATCCAATAATGCATTGAGCTTCGTGAAAAAGAAAACATAAAAAAATGCTATGCAAAACTGATGTATGTAATACACATAATGAAGTCGTCCCCTGCTCTCCAAAAATAACTAAACATTGATCACTTAATCCTTTTGCCGATAAAATGCTACTGTAAACATGTTGAATTACATGTTGTAGTAGAAATACGAGTCTAAATATTACAAACAGTAAGTTTTAAATAAAAAAACTTTAGGTGATGTATTATTGATTGTAAAAAAATGTAGATTTTTTCTTACATCTAGCACTTACCTCTGAATTCTCCGGTATTCCTCTTTTTCTTAAACTCGTATCTTGGTACCTAACATGAGGTACCGGATCTTCGCCAGACACTGCCCTCTGGTATGAAAGCCTTCGACCTTTGCTGTCGATGCCATAAAGATAATTTTCTGGTATACTTGATAGGTCCTGATAAGAATGACACACCTGCATCTCCCTGTTCTTTTCATCTTGAATCATTCGACGCACGTAGTTCGTTAATCCTTCACTGGCCAGCCAGGTGACTCTGGAAATAATAAAACATTTTATTTGCATCGTCCGTTTTTTTATTGTTATGTTTATAGTTTCATCTGATCTACAATAAATAAAACGTAGAAAGCGTTAGCGATGACTAAAAGTCGACAAATAAAATGGGTATCGCTGAAACTCTAGGAACGATATAATCTCAAGGTTAGGGACTCATTAAGAGAAAATTAAAATAAATAAATATGACTTTTGTTGCTTTTCAATAAGTATATACAAAAAATTAATTAATTTTCAATAAAAATGATGTGTACACAATTATAATACTAGAAATAAGAATAAATTAATGTTGACTAATACTAGACTTCAAAGAGTTAATAATTCATACAGATGTCTTGTGTTTACAACTATTACACTAAAAGTGTTACAAATACTTTTAAGGAAAGTTTTTTTTTAAGTTGAAGGTTTGCTTATAATGTTGTCATTTGTTAGATAATAGTGCTGTTTATTCTCTGCACATACATTGATTATACCTAAATCAAAGTATATAAAAGGAGATGTCTTGACATACTAACTAACAGACAACCTAAGCCTAAACCACTGTTCATTGAAAATTGGAGGGTACTGTAACATCCGTGCACATTGCTATAGGTAGGTGTACTCTCCGGACGATTTACGGTCAAAGCTGGCCGCTAATTTTTTGAATTATTATTAAGTATTCGAATTCGCATGGTCGTGTTTTGCTGGTGAATAATATTTCTTTCTGATCCAGACTGGCATAGAGTCAATATCTTCGCATCTAGTTATAAGTGATTCGATCGATGTATGTTTTTCGCAAATAAAATCAAGACTGAAGAATTATACCAGTATTTCATTGCGCCATCCAGAGCTACTGCTGATCCCAATATTAGAGTACATTTATCTTATCGCGTAGATGTGTACTAAGAACGGATTTTTGGGAATTCCACTCTGAAGGAGTTTAAAAGAGTTGAAACGTTTGTATGAAACTTTTTTTGTTTTTGGACCCATATCTAGGCAAATTTGTATTTGAGTAATTTAAGACTCTGAGAAAGTTATATTTTATTTTATTATAGGTTATATTTTATCCCGAAAACCAACATTTAATGGGATGAAAATAGGAGTGGAAGTTTTTATGGGGAATCAAAATATAGCAAACATTGTTTACTACATGATTTGTCATTTTAATGAATCTAATATTATTTTAGTGATTAAAGTTGTTAATTGAGTACATCACTACACAGTATAAAACGAAATCGCTTTCTCTGACCCTATATTCCTATGTATGATTAAAATCTTTAAAACTACGCAATGGATTTTGAAGCGGTTTTTTTCATAGATAAGATGATTTAAAAGGAAGGTATATATAATAAAAGATCATGCGGGCGAGGCCGCTGGTGGAATAATTTATAACAAAACTGACATTTTATATTAAGTTTTTGAAAATATCTCGGTACAAATCAAAAGAAAACACATTTTATCGTTTGAGTTATACTAGATGGTCGATAGATTTCTACATCGTACTGTTTTGGTCAAAGTTGAGTTTTAAAATAATACTATAGTGTTTATTCTTATCTAAACTGCGTTATCGTTATGTTCAAAGAATTTTGCGTAGATTTCAGACTTCAGTTTTTGCGTAGATTAAAGTTTAGATTTATGATTTTTTTTTCTTTTTAATTGTATTTCACATTAAATATATAGCTTTAAAGTTTTTAGAGATAAAGTACTGACACATATTGGACCTGAGTCAGTTAATTACATATATGGCTGTAGCTGCACCTTAAATAAGTATGCTGCTGTATGATGTTGTAGCCTTAGAAGGTGGACATCAAAGTAATTTTATTATTATATCGCGGATATTTTGGTGTGTGTTGACTACTGCAGATGCAGCTGGGGCCAATGGTTTAACTTACCTTCCGAAGCACGGAGTAGTTCGGCTAACAATTTTTGGTCACCCATCCTATGACCGGCCATATGGAAAGTTGCTTAACAACCGTAACGCAGACCGAGCGCGCCATCGAGCTCCTCACGACATTATTCATTATGCATATATTAACCTCAATGTTTTTTCATTACTTCACTCACATCTCTATCTCTTCCATTCCTCAATTTAAACTCAAAATAAAATAGCCGTGAGTTTAAGAGTCGACTAAGCAATTGTAATTTATATTGTCCTTAGTCTATTAATTTCATTAAATATCTGGTAATCTCTTAATATCATGATGTAATGAGCGTCAAGGAGAATCGTTTAATTATCCCATAATTATTGAGTATTATACTTGTACATGCGAAAGTAGGTCCGTGAATATCAGTTACGCTCTCACGCCTAAATGGAACGCCGTTTAGTGGGTTAGGAGTCAACTGACTTGAGGATATAGGATAAAGGTTGATTTATTATTATAAAAAAGGGTTGACATAGGTAAAACTTTATATTCAGGCATTTTATACGATTTAATTAATAAATATTTGTTTTAACATTCGTAGAAATGCTGCCCAAAGTAATTTAATTTAATTTAATTTAATAAGTCGAAATTGCTAGTTAAATCATATTGTTTATATTTATTCGGTAACGACATGGTTTATGTAAATGAAATTATTTATGTTAAAAGTGGTGTGGCTCCTTCGCTCATTTTTCTTATCGCCAAAAGACATATTAAAGATAATAAAATGTTGAAAGATTCAAAAATATTTTTGACAAATTCATTTGAATAAAAAATATTTTGACTGTGACTCTAGGAAATACAGTGAAATTTATAGTTAAATATCATGGTTTTATTCTTTTCGACTAATATTAGATGATTATTTATCAATAAAAATGTAATAGTATTAATGTTGGAAAATAATAATTTCGAAAGACGAAAATAATTTATTTTAGCTTTCAAAATAACTTTGACTATCCAAATTTACAGGGATATTTTAACGAATCCGTCTTGGTATATATGTATATCTAAAGCACTATCTAAAGTATTTTGTGACATGCCTATGTCTGCCTAGGTTAAGCTTATTAGCTCTGTCTAGGTTAAAATAACGTTTATCCTAGACAGAGCTTATTAATATATCGTGGATTCATGGGCTATTTATATCAAGCGATATCCTTGCCACAATTGAGTTATTATATTAGTCTATAAAGGACCCAAAACGTGGATAGAACGCTGGATAATGACAATACTGATATATCCACAAGGAATACGACAAGGTACGTAAAAGCTGAGGAACGCTAAGACACTCCTTTCAAGAATAAATTGATCGCGTGCTATAGGGAGATGATGTCAGAAGTCATAAATACCGACAGATATCGACGCATGAAAAGAGCAATAAATAGGAAAGAAGCGAAAGACGAACAAATAAATAAATATAAGGCAACATCACATAATCTTCATTTTCCACACTAACTTTATCGGAAATTAAACCATCAGATATGATTTCTTGAAACCGTGAAAGCCTTACACAAAAGCTCATCGGTACCTACCCCACCAGGGATCAGACTTTAAGATGTAGATACATTAATTAAACGGAATTTGACTTATTTAGAAGTCGTTTTATTAAAGTACGAGTAATGCAACGTCCATGAAAACGACAGGAAATACTCGTGTACAGGGAAAGTTAAGAGAAAAGCATTCTTTGACAATTTACAAATTTCCTCCAACGAGCATTTCATATTTCGTGCCCACTCGGGTTTGACGGTTGGCAGCTGTCCGTGTAAGTTACCAGTTGGATGAACACATTGGACTGAATAAACTATAATGTGAACGCTGGCTTACTAAAGTTCAGTGTATAACTGTCGGAAGATGCGTGGCATCCGTCCAGTTATATGTTATGAAATTCAACCCTGCACACTCCACGAAATACAAGTACTACTTAATTGGGTACAATACTAAACATTTTTCACAAGGCATTAGACATATTTGAGTCAAGTGTACGCAATGGTACGATTAACTAGTAATTAAAAAATATGCGGTCCGCAATCCGTCCCCTCAGTTCCTAATCGGACACAGGGCGCAACGCCCAGATTACCATAACATTTTTCCAATCTGTCTCGCATTTTTGAAATTTCTCTTGTCATTTTCTATTTCAAGACAATTGAACACACGTATGGCCTCTTTCCTCATATTATTTATTTTTATTCATCCATAAGACGCATGACGGATCTTCCGTCAGGTTTGCACCAACTTTAAATCTATGGAAAAAAATACTATTCGATTTATTTCGCATTTTTTATGGGTATAAGTGAAATAATTCCAAGCTTAACACGGAATTAGTATTCCACGTTTCTTGCGACAGTAAATGACAAGTTGCTATGGACAGATGAAAAAAGATAAAAATAAGTTTATACTGAAACTTACAAAAATATATAACTAGCTGTGTTCCCGCAACATTGCACGCGTAAATCATGTATGATGTAGCTAACCGTAACTGAAAGCAATTTTAAAATCGGTCCAATAGTTTCGTAACCTATTCAATGCAAACAAATAATCAAATCTTTTCTCTTTATAATATTATATTTAAATAATATGAACCTTTTATGTATTCTCAGCATCTATCTATACTATATTAAATACACACAAATATTTGTATTTGAGTGTAGCTTTAAGTGATTGGATAATTATGTTAAGATATAGGTATTACGTGTTAATATAATTACTACTTTAGTTTTGGTTAGCCGTTTCTGATTTCAACATGTCATTGACATAAATAGATATAACACATAATACTCTCGTGTTATATCCAGCCTTTGCTTATTCGTTTTTATAAAGTACTAAATACTAATTTTCAATATCAATATTTAAGTATTTTATAAGACTCAATTTGCAAACTTATAATAAAAATATTTTGTAGCATGATAATTATGTATTTTTAATTCTTTAATTTTGTATGGGGATTTTATTCAGTATTGTAGATACTGATAACCAGTAGCATTTACATAAGGTTTGAAAAATTGTGATAGAAATATGTGAAACATTTGTGATTTTATAACAATTTTTATACTACTTCCCAAAAAGTGTGTATTGTGTTAAAGGCTACGTG